TATGTATGTATGTATGTATGTATGTATGTATGTATGTATGTATGTATGTATGTATGTATTGTGTATGTATACACACACAAACACAAAGCCACCACACAACACATATACAGAGATGAGTACATACGTTTGTGTATGCATCTCTCTTTCTCGGTCTCGGTCTCGGTCTCGGTCTCGGTCTCTCTCTCTCTCTCTCTCTCTCTCTCTCTCTCTCTCTCACACACACACACACACACAGGCACATTCTTCCCCCCTCCCATCCGCAGTCTTCACCCCCCCCTCCCCGGTTTTCCTCTTCTCCAGCACCACCAACACCAGCCACCAGGACAAGTTGCTACGGAAACGGCTGCATGGCAACCGGCTCTGAGCCTGGGGTCCGTCTGCTGCTGCTGCTGCTGCTGCCGCCGCCGCCGCCGCCGCCGCCGCCGCTTCTCTGGCTGGCTCATTCTCCCGCGCGCTTCCTTCCTCGCTAGATGGTGTGCGAGACACCCGAGACTAGACACGCTCCGGACGCGGCCAGCGAGAAGCTGAGCGAGCGAGAGAAAAGCCAAGAGGCGGCAGTGGGAGCAAGAGAGCCGGAGAGGCGAAGAGAGGACGCGCGGCTTGGCCAGGACAGAGGAAGGCGGCTGCTTTCTGCCTTCGCGCCCGCCCGCCCGCCCGCTCGCCTGTTTCGCCGGGGGTCGACGCGGAACAAGAGCCGCGAGCCGGAGCGCAGCCTTCGAGAGGGCATGGACGTGATGCTCCTGGTCCAGGGCGCTTGTTGCTCCAACCAGTGGCTGGCCGCGGTGCTGCTCAGCCTCTGCTGCTTGTTGCCCTCCTGTATCCCCGCCGGCCAAAGTGTAGACTTCCCCGGGACGGCTGTGGAGAACCTGGTGGTCCGGAAAGGGGACACGGCGGTGCTGAGGTAGGACTCGACTCAGCCTCCCATCCGAGGTGGTGGTGGTGGTGGTGGAGGAGAAAAAGCTTGAACGGGTTGTGTGTTTGGCGCGCTCTCTCCCTCTGCTTCTCCCCCCCCCCCCCCCCCTCCACAGGGCTCGGTGTTGGCGTTGCGTCCCCGCTCCCCGGGCCCCGGCGCCCCCCCCCCCCCCCCCCCGCCGCCGCTCCCCTCCTCCGGGGAAGCGGAGGCTCTTTTTCTCTGCCTTCCAGATCTGCGGCACCCAAATGGGCCAAGCCGTTTGGAGCCGGAGCCTTTGGGTTGCGGCAGCCAGAGGAGAGGAAGGGGCTTTCTTCTACTTTCAAACTAGATTTTCCCCTTCCCTCCTCCTCCCCCTCCCCCGTCGAAAAGGGATGGACAGTAGCTCTCCCTGCCGCCCCATCCTTGAAGCCCCCTTCCTGCCTGTTCCCCCTCCCCCCCCCCCCCCCACCGCTTATCCCGAGGGGTGAAAAAGCGCTTCTCTCCCCCCCCCCGTTCTCTTTTGATGTTGTCCCCCCTTTCGATGGTACTTTCAGCTCAACTTTGGAAGCATCACCTTGTTGTGCTCGGTGGACTCTTCTGCTCTCCCCCACCCCCTCCGAGCAGACAGAGAGAGAGAGAGAGAGATGCTACGCAGTCAGCTCCTTCCCTGGAATGAGTTTGCAGCTTCTTCCTAAGGCATGTTTCTTACACCAAAAGCCAGTAAGGGCTCGTAGGAGAGCAGCTTAACACCCCCCCCCCCCCCCCCTTCCCCCCCCCCCCCCCACCCCACTCTCCATTTGTAGCCCGGCAAGCAAAGCGGCTGCAGTGCAGTGCCAGCCTTTTATGCAACCTTTCTTCTTCTCTGGGGAGGGAAATGCTAGGTTGGTACCCAGAGTTCCGAGATCTGTGTGATGCTAAAGACTACCCGGTCGTCCAGAACTGCCTTCTTCCTCCTCCTCCTCCTCCTTCTCCCACCCCTCACCCCACCCCAATGTCCCAACCGGATCTTTGCTGCATTAACACACAGCTAGTGCAGCAGGATCATGCATCCAGGCATGACGGTTTGGGAAAGTGTATATTTGGAGAGATTTGATTTCGGGATGGATCCGTAATAAGGGTTAACCGGTGCAGAACACACTGGATTAGCTACTGCTGTTTTTTTTTTTTTTTTCTTTTCTGGGAGTAGCTGTATGTATGTGCTACATAATTGTATAACTGGGCTGTTCCAACAAGCCCTGAAGTGAGCTGCGGAATAGAGGAAACCCTGTTTTAGATCTTTCCCTGGGAAGATGATTTCAGAACTTGGATTGCCACTTGTCTAACAAATACAGAATCTCTGGTACTCAATTATTAGATGTTTTGAAACTATAGAACATAGCAGATACTTGTTGAGGTAGAATCTGAAGGGTTCTGGTTTTTTTGTTTTTTTGTTTTGTTTTTTACTTAAGCATCCGATGCATGGAAAGGTTCCAATTTCCTTTTTAGAATGCTAAGTTTGTTGATAGAAGTTGGAATAGAAATGACTGATGTTCAAATTACTTTCTGTGGGAGACCGCCTGATGCTTGTATGTAACAGGATCTGCAGTGCAATCTTCCTGTGCCTGTGTAGAGTATTGCTCAGCAGTAACAGTTCCTTGAGTGTACAGAGAAGCATGAATGTGGCTTAACATCCTTGGCATACCGCCAAACACTTTTTACAGAGAGAAAAAAAATCAGGCTAGACGATTATGTGAATATTTTTTTTTTGTTTAAATACCTTTGGAAGTCTGCCTCTGTTGAGAAATTGTTTCCTTTTGAAGGAGCCTTTGAATTCTACATGGTAACAAGATTATTTACCAATAGTAGATTTATTTCCTGTATAATATTTTTTAAAATCCTGTTTTGAGTTCATTAAATCTTCAGGCTAATACCCACCCAGCTACCCACCCATCCACTCACTCACCCACCTACCCAATCCTTTCAGTTTAAGTTTTAGCTGACATATTTCACATGTTTCTAAACTAGTCTTCCATGGGGAAAAAAGCCAGGTTTTCTTATTATTTACAATATTAATAATATCAAGTGGGGAAAAATGCTGTTTGGACCTTAAACATTCAGAGGTTGCCCTCTGCAGTAGTTTGAGCAGAAACAGCGTGTTTATAAGATGTTGCTTGCATCGGGTGAAGCAGGTACATAAAGTAACTTGATTAGGCGCGTTACTTTCGACATAGATTGCCAATCCTTTCTTACTCCCACCCACAACAAAAGGTAGATGAACATAGAAGGCATTTTGTTCATTGTTTCAAATTCTGAAATTGTCAGCCCATCCCTATTTATTTTCCAGACTGTTCTCATCTGGCTGAGGCTGAGAACACATTCAGTGTCTATGCACTGCTGGCTGACACATTTTTCATCTGTGGTAATATGCTATAGTTACACTCCTTGGTTTTGGAATACATTGGAATGTACTGTTCTTGGGCTCCTCTGCTACAGACAGAAAGTAAATGCAATCTTAGTCTCTTTATTTACAGTACTTCCAATGTAAAGACAGCCACAGATCAGAGTTGATGAGCTGAGTTTTCTATTGAGGCTAGAACTCAGAAAAGTGCTAAGTGAAAAGCCTGAAAAAGCCTTTCAATCCACTTCCATCCTCAAGAAATTTACATTTAAACTAAGCCACTGATTATGCCTTTGGATCGCTAGATTATGCTTCTACCACTAAAAACATATGTATTCCTTTAGGCCTGGTTATGAAGCTAAATACATTATATCAATGCAGTTGGCATTTTAGGGTCAGGCAATCATTTTCATCTCATACTTTGGAGAGCATGAGTAACAGCTTTTGAAAGAAAAGGTACCAGTGAGAATAGGATCCACTGTACAATTTTCATTAAAAAACACACACACACCAAGCAACTGAGTATAAATAGAAAAGGCAATATTAAAGCTATTAGAAAGCTTGGGTGTTTCTTAAGAAATTGAATGTTCTGGACACATATTTTCTTTTGCACTTCTTGTGAAAACTGAGTTGACTTATGTGAGATTTTTGCGACAAAACTGGTTAAGTTAACTATCAGATACAGACTTATCAATGGTTTCCTGTAATTATGACAAACTGGGACAGTTTAAATTTTAAAAAAACCTCTTCAACCCTTCAAACCCTTCAAAAAAAAAAAAAACTTCAAACCCTTCAAATTTACATTAATAACAATCCAAACAATCACTTGCAAATATGGAAAGGGAAGAAAGAATGGTTAATACAACTGTTGCTGTAGATTTATTAATTTATTCAAACCTATAGAACATATTTTATTTCAATTGTTCCATACTGGGACATTCTTTTTTAGATTAAATATATTTGGCTTGCAAAAAGAAAAATAAGAGGCATAAGGATATATGATGTCAATTCTTTACAATATTGAGGTTCTGTATATTAAAAAGAACTTAACTGAATATATAGCATTTATTTACAATTTGTTTATTCTCTATTCAGGGTCAAATTGTAGTAAATGGAAAGAGATGTTGTGCATATTCAACCAATTGGGATACCTCTAATTACAAAGCTATATGTTTGCTGGTGGCAAACATATGGTTAGGATCTTTTTGAAAATGCTGAATCTCTGAGTCATTCTTCTAGTATTTTGAGTCAGCAGTTTGGTTGTTTAGTAAAAAGATAGTTACATTAAAGAGATACAATACACTGATGCTTTTAATTATTTTATTACTTAATAGCAGAACTCTTACATATCTTTTAGGTAAGTCATATTGACATTTACATAAATGTCTTTGTACAATGGTGACAACAGAATTATGAGATACATATGCAAGTGAAGAAGCTAACCCAACAAACTTTGCAGATATGCATTGGCAGTAATTTGTATTCTAGAAAGTGGTGTTTAAAATAGGTAACTGTTAGTGGGATTTTATGCCAAACTTTGTCCTTAATTAGCTATATTACCTTGATTGTATGACTTCTCAAATGTCCCAAGAAGAATACAATTTGGTGACATGGCATTTTATGTGAGAAGTGTAGATTGGAGTCCTATTTTATTTTAGAGGGTTAAGCTGCTTCCTAGGTTCTCATTAAGGCCGCACCCCAGTGAATACTGAACAGAGTGCAATGTGCTTCTGAGTCAACATGTCAAGTATCACATAGCTTTGGTTTTGAAGGGATGAATAGCCATCCAATGCTTAGTAGAACTGAATAGAATTGAAGTAAGTTCTAATTTACAAAGAAAGGAGTTCAGTGGCCGTAGATTTTCAGCACAGTTTACCATTTTTAGGCAGCATTCCTCATTCTGATAAAGTTTAGCTATAGGCTTTCATGCTGAGGATTTGAAAAATTATAATGGCAACACATCCAGAGGCACCAGGGGGAAACGATTATAATTCTATAAGTGATGCAACATGGTGGACTGGAAAAACCTGTTCATAGACATTCTTATTGGATGCGGGTTTCACTAGAAACCTGAATTGAATAATATTCAAGAGAGTAAGGAGAACTGTAGTGGTGCAATGGTTAGAATACAGTTGTGATGACCCACGGCATGGCAGAAAGGCAACACAGTCAGATAATCAGTGGGAGTCCCTTTATTAGCTCCAACTTTGCCCCCCAATGTCCTGGTTACCTTCTGGCTGGAGAAAAACTCTCCCAGGAAAAGAATCAAGTCCAAAATGTGGTCAACAAAAACTGTAACTATAAGTCCAAACAAGGCAATATGAGGTAATTAGTCCGGCAGGGCACGTGAAGGCACGGCAATAACTCAACACAGTTGAGAGGATGCCAGGAATACAGATAACCAAAGTACACACAAGATAAACTCATGTTTGCTCCCAGTAGATACTGCACTCAGCATGTATCTCTTTTGAACTCTCTTCCCAGGTGTGGCTAATGAAGGGAATCAGGGCCCTTTCCTCCCCTGTAAGCAACACAACCCACGTTGCTCTCTTCTCTGTTCTTCCCTAGGATGAAGAGGGGGTGGGCCTGGGTCTTCCTCTGAACTCCTTCTCCTGTGTTCTACTTCTCCCCT